ACACCAGAGACTTTGAAGGGGGGGTTCTCAATTTTCCGTGTATATTTTACAGCTGCCAAAAGGGATCGGCAGATGATCTTTGCCGTTTCAGGCTTCGGCAGGTTGATGGGTTGGGGAAACCACGCGTCCTGGTACTAAATTATATAGTTATATATATAACTATATATATACATGGAATTGAATGATGCACTTTGTCGATGGTCGGTGAAACTGAGACCGTCAAGCCTATCGCAAATTTTGGATGAGGTGCCAAAACAGATGAAAAACATAAACGTATCAATCTGGGCGATTTAACATATTCTGGGCCCCAGCAGCTGGGGTAACGACCAAAAAGGCACCATGAACAGGACCTCAATACTGGGGACTCTCCGATCTTTTCTGGTATCAACCAGATTCACTACTGATGAACTAATGCAACGATCTCCGGCACATTTCCTCGAATCGGACAAGGATACCCTTGTGGCAAAGCCGCTTCAGGACATTCAGGACATGAATCTCCAGACTGTTCGACAGGCTATTCTTATTGCTTGGTATGTGGTCCCAGTGGTTTCTCCACCTCGAATGGAAAGAGTCTTGAGGATCGGACCATCGGCTTCCGCCGGTTGGCGCGGTGCGTGAGGTGCTCTTTTTGGAACAAAAAGAAATCACCTCCCGAAAAAGGTTACCTGCTTTTGCTTAAGGTGATATTTTATGTTCATATATATATATATTATATTATTATATTTATATCCCAACAGTTTTTGTTTTTTTCAAGGTTCCAGGATCCAAGGTTATATACAGTTATCGGCTTGTGGGTCCCACCAAAGACCATCAAAACCTTCACGGATCGTCCGATCAAAGTCAGGCGCGGGCTGCTCGACATCCTCGGAGGATTGCCGCGCTTCAGGCTGGGTGGAAGCAAGCAGAACATGCAACGTTGTCGTGAAAAAAAAAAAGAAGTGTAAACCGCAAGCACTTCCAGCTTGATGGCACTAACAACTGTTTGTTGCGTCTTTGTTAAGCAGTTTCAACGAACAAAAAAAACAATTCAAACACGTGGTGACCCGTTCAGTCCAGAAGCTGGCTGGACCGCTCCGCGGCCGCGAATCGATCCAGCGAAGGATGACAATCCGGACCAAACCGGTGCAGGAGTTTGGTACTCAAAACGCCCAAAAACGCAGGTGAAAGGGGATGTCACTGGTACTTGTTCCCAAAACTTGTGAAGGAAGGGGAAACCTGTTCAGAAATTGCGGTCTTGTTGATCATCTAGGAGAGTTTGATAGGTCATCTATGCAAGTACTTGATCATCACGCAGCATCCACGTCGTTTCGTCAGGATGTTGCGTAGATGCGGGCTACACCTGCTATGACACGCAGAAACCAATTCAGGGAGTGGCGGAGTGGGTGGCTGTTGGGCCGAGTGTTTGCGTGTTTGCCACATTGGACAGTTGTGTCATCACTGGTTGGTGAAGGAAAACGAGCAGTTGTCATCATGTGGCTTCAGAGATTCTGTGGGCGTGAGTACGTACCCTATAGCTTGGAGCCAGAGGCCCCGTCCCTGACGTGGATGGCATTGGGCCTGGCCGTGGATGGCCCCCGATGTTCGGAGTAGCATTTTGACAGACCAAACAGGTGACGACGTCCATGATTGGTTCAGTTCGTCTTCGGTTTATTTCTAATGCGAGGACCGAGACCCATGTAGCAGGTCCAGGTCCGGACCAACGTGGCGTAAGTTTTTTCCGGTGGGACTCCTGGGTCGGACGTTCAGAGCTTCCTAAGGAGAAGAACGAGTATTGGGCCTCATGCCAGCAGAGCTGTGATCCGGGCCAAGTCAGCCCCAACGACGATCCGGACCGGCGCGAGCGACTGATGGGTTGACAAGACTTACAAGCGCGACTGACGGGTGGTGTGGGGAATGATATGAGTCAAATGTGGAAGGACTGAAGAAGTTTGGACTCCAATCAAGAAGTTTGCACAGAAGGATTGCTTGAGTAGGGATTTGTTTCTTCACCATAGAAGTTGGATGAGTTTTGCATCGTTTAGCGATATGTTGTCATGTGCTCTTTAGAGAATCATGCGATTTCATTTCCAACGTGAACCCTATAGAAGCACCTGGCCATCCCTGATGAGCTCTTTCCACCCCACGCAATAAAGATAGCGATTCGGGTACGGGGCGAAACATGGCGCGCCGCGCGGTGGCTGCCCAACTGACACCGACGACCTCCGACGCCGTTCCGATCCTTTGGGGGCGGAGAGAGTTCTCGAGGGGCGAGCCGGATCTGCCGATCAGTTCTGTTCTCACTTCTTGACACGAACGAAGCGGTCCGGAGCCAGGCTGGGCTCCTGTCCCACATTCATACCTGGTAGATCCTGGTAGTTATAGACCTGCTAGGCAAACGCGCCCTAACCGTATCTAATCATCCCCAACCACCTGTAGGAGATGCTGGGAGCTGGAACTAGTGGCATCGGAGTACACCCCCCCCCCAAGCTGTGGCCTCTTCGGAGTTCGAAAGCACAACCCGTGCCCCATATTCACCTTCCCTGGGGATCCAGTCGTACCTTCTCAGGTTCGGTACTTGGACCCTCCTGGCACCTACATAACGGTGTCTTCCTGCTCACCTTCTGAGAAGGTACTTGGATCCCTAGGGCTTGATGGCTTTTCACCTTTGTGGTCGACCATCTTCCACATCTGCTCGGTACGTACCTACCCTGTCCAGTATCATGTGACCATGGATGACCTAAAATTGGATCGAGAATCGATGCGTGTCAGGACTCATCCCGACGCTTCATGGAACATGGAACATATTTACATGTTGTGGGTGACCAGGGGTCAATGAGGCGGCATATATTCCAGTCCCGTGGAGTGTTTGGGCCATATGTTTCTTTCCAAAAATAATATGATCTTCATTGTATATGATACATCATGATACATCTACATAATATGTACATCCCCGCACTCGTTTGAGCCATCCCGCTCTTTCCCATTGACCTGCAAACGCCCCCTTTTGCGTGCCACCGTTGACGTTCTTCTCTCGGCGGCCGCGCAGGAGTATGCGACTCCATGGACCTGCACAGTGAGTCTTGAAATGAAACTATCAAAGGGGGACGATGACTGAAACGGTTGTTATTTTTCCTGAAGTGGTGTTCTGATTTGGTTGACTTGTATATGTGATGTTATTTGTGGATCATAAACATATTACATAATATATAACTAAGATATGTAATATATTAGCATATAATAGCATATATTAGTAATTAGTAATGCCATATCGATCATGTGTTAGTACTATCAACGTGTCAACGTGTTCGTGTTGTTCTGCTTGTTCCACGGTTTTGCTTCTACACTCCTCCCACCTTTTAGTGGAACAAATTTCCAAATACAGCTGTGTGTGCGTTGTTTTTCTTTGCACTGCATCCCTGCAGATCAGCACGGAAAAGTGCTTTGACCGCTTTGGTGAAGCCACCATCAACGGTGTGCCTCTTCCATTTGAATCTCAAAGTACCATATCATTGGAAGGAATCAACAAAACCAACAACCAACCCAAAGGAAACCAAAGCCGCAACAAATAGAAACAACACCAAACCGACCAACTGAACGAACTGAAATGGTGAACGCACTCCCGATCTCCAAGGATTGGATCCTCCGGGCCCACGACGTCGGGTCCAACGGGGCCCGTGGTGAACCCTGCGCCAGGGCAGATCTTTGTGACGGGCACCGTAGGATCAGGCCACTTGGAGGTAAGGGGAGGCTGAGGCGGTTTGGAAGCGGTTTGGAACATGGTGACATGGGTGACATGTCTCGTTCTTTTTTGGGGAGGAGGAGGAAGAGTATATCCATCGAGCTTAGGGAGACGGGAGGACTCCTCAAACCCGTTTGCAGGTTTCAGTGTGTGTTCCTCCTCCCATCAAAGTGTGTTTTTGTTCTCGTGTGTGTGTGTGTGAGTTTTTTGTGTTCAAGTGTGTATCTTCCGGCACCGCATCACTTGTGGTGAAGGCGCTGGCCACTGAAGGCGTTACACGGCGTTTGATTTCGCTGTCATGTGAATACAACCAATCATCCAAACTGCTGTCAAGCATCTCAAAGTCTTTATAGCTATTCATGCGATGCTGGGAATTCCATAGAGTTCACTTGGTGATGATTTACAGTGGTTTCAGAGGTTTGATGGCACTGTCACCCCAAAGATGTCCTTTTACATGGGGGGTCCTTGTAATCCACCACACTCGGGGTAACTTTAAACTTGTGCCATCGAACCTCTGGTTGACCACTGTATGTGTTGTTGCGACCTTCGGCCAAAACCCCATGGATGGGGATTTGAGGGACCCTCCACGTGGGTTCTTCGTCGCCTTTGTCCCACACCGATGCGTTCTGGAAATCACTGACGCGCCACTTCTCAGAGCCATCGTCCCATCGGTGCTTCCGGTCGTGTCCAACATCGAGCCATCACCCAGCGGGCTCAGCACGTCCTGTTTGTTTTTCTCGGGTTCGCAAGGGATCTATGAAAATCATTGAGGCAAGACCCATGAAAATGGGGAGTGAAGATGGGTGACTTTGTTGTGGTTTTCATTTATGTATGTATGTATTCTCTAAGAGTCACTAATTACCACGTTTGTATCTTGCAATTGATCCACAACATTGCTAGCATGCAATTTTGATCATATTTTTGTTTTGAGCTTTTCGTCACCACTCCCAACACCTCTAGAAAAAATTGCATGCACTTTCTGCTTCTGGCGCTTAAAAAAGGTATCTAGGCTGATGCCACCCAATCTATAGGCCAACAAGGACCAAAGTAAGGTCCAACAAGGGCTTTTCCCAGAATTTGTTTAGGGAAACATCTACAGGAAACCTATGGAAACCTAACCTCTATGATTTTGGGGTGTTTCACCATCCCAATGATTTCCTGTAGATATTCCCAAACACACCAGATTCATGTTTCACTTTGAAACGCCATCGGCTATGGCGTCATCAGCACAGGCAAGAACCGACTCTTTGAGTTCATCAACGCCCTGTCCGACCAGCCGGTCATGGGGTCGAATGCTCGTGCAGTCCATTCATCCGGCGGAGCAGCCGGTGGTGTGGTGAGTGAAAGCCAAGGAATCTTGGTGCAAGCCATTGATGCGAGTATCATGATATATATATATATATACATATTATATACCTGCAATGCGGGCATGACCTCTGTTTTGATAGGAAGTTGGACGATATGTTGGGCAGTTGGTGGTCCAAAAGAAGGTGGTTAGACTCAGGTTCTAGGTATATATATATATATATATTACCGGATGTTCCATGGAGTTGTGTGCCGCACAAACCACCTGGTGGTTGGTACACACTCTGTTGGAATTGTTGGTATATATATATATTAGTTTATATACAACTGTGTATATCCGAATTGGAATAGGGAGACCATCGCAACCAATGTGTCTTAGATGGTCTTAGTCTATGTATAAGATGTAATTGTACATATTTTATATGTCGGCTTTTAGCCCAGAAACGCCCAACAAACGTGGCCTGAAACCCATCGGGATGTTCTTCGACCTGTCTAATAGATCGTATCCCTTAGCGAATAGATCGTATGTCTTTCTGTCAAGACCATGCTGTTGAAGGTGTTTGTTCTCCCAGCTCTGCCCATTTTGCAAGGATATGGATTGCTACTGACTGGTGCCATGTTGGCGAGCTTGGACCCCGATGATGCGGATCGGCCAAAGATCATGGACTACACCTACGAGATGCTCGCTTGACAAACAGTGGATCGTTGGGTGGAGGATGGCTTGAGGACAATATAAACAAGAATTGTGGGATGATGTTGATCCACATTATATATATACACACATAGTGTTGCATAATGTATTTATATACGCACATCGAATGACTACCCCAGTTGACAAATCTTTTGTTGGTATTGGTTTGTAGCACCCATCCACTAGATGCTTTCATTTGGAAAAAGCACCCCTTTTGGATCCACACTTTTCCGCTCCAATAGATGTGTCTTTTTCGTTTGCCAAGCTCCGCCTGTTGAGGATGTTTTTGGGCTGGCGACGGATGTGTGAACGTTCCAAGCAAGATGGCAGCTGTCAGGAGGATGCTTGACCTGACAGTGATGGAAGCTGCTTACGGCAACCACGCTCCAACAGGTCACCAAATGAGAGGGTCCAACCCAAAAGAGACCTGTTGGAGGTGATGAGAAACGAAGGAGATGGAAAGGTCAACCCTCCTTGGATTCGTTGTTTAAATGGAAAGCGTTGTTTTATTGGCCCACAGCCAAGGATGAAGGATTTCAATGCGGAGGAAAGCAGTTTCCATGCTTGCCACACTGGAAGTTTGATGATGATCTGACCGGAATCATTGGCAAGGTAGGGCGGCTTTGCCACATCGCAGGGTCCTGGTTGCGGTTTTGTGCGGATTTTGTTCATTTCATTTCACACACTACTGATGACGCATGTTTCATCATAGTTCCCCAAAGAAAAAACACCTGCCCATGTCGTGTTTCTTGTTTGTTTGTCTTTGTTTGACACCTGACACCTTGTGTATTCAACTACTTGAGGTCCAACTCGGATCACCAACCACAGCCTGGCTTAGTCTCCACCCCTGTCGCGACCGATCCTAACTCAACATCTCGACAGAAAAAGCCGTGTTGATTCACAGGGTGCGGCCCCGGATGGAGACGCCGATGCCCTGGCGGGGATGCTCTTGGCGGTTCTCTCCTTGGAGCAGTCGAGCGAAGCTCCCGGATGGCTCGAGGAGGCACCGATGCTGGCGAGTGTTGGTAGGACGGGCCGTGAGGAGGACGATGCCATGGAGCTGTTGGTGGTGGCTTTTTGGGACACTGCCATGGAGCAATGGCAAGAATCAGTTGCAAGTCCCTAAAGCGTAAGAATCCCCAAGTTCTTCACTTCTTTGTGTTTTTCCGTGGCAGAGTCGTCGTTCACCCCAAGTATAGTCCTGCACAGCGATGTTTACTATAAAACGGTGGTCCTCCAGGCACCGATTGACACAGATGTCCGAAATGAAATCTGACGAAACGTCTGAAGAAGAAACACTTCTTGTTGGCCTGGAGGTTGGTCAATGGGCGTATGACACCTGCAAGCAGTTCTACATGAGTTCGACCGTTTCATCATCTTCAGGCAACCACCGTATCGTGAAGCTTGGATCTTGCTGGGGCGGCTGGGGTGGCCAGGGCCAGAACCCCAGCTACCATGCACCTGGCGTTTACCGGCTTTGCCGCAACTACATGAAATCGCATGATGTCAAGTACGGTGAGACAGCGCAGGAAGGAGAAAACTTCGAATCCAGATGGAACAAGTTGATTAGTACGACCTACAAGATGTTTGGTGCTACTCAGTGTGACTCTACTGGCTTGATTCCCAATTGGGCCAAGATCTACGAGGAGGGACAATCTCTTCGTGCTGAGATGGGCTTTTCTGGCAGTGGAACTCCAGGGGCAGAGTACGGATCAGAAGCCTCGCGCGCCGTGTGGCGTGTGGCTTTGGACTTTCTGCTCTTTCCTAACGAGGCGGGCGAAGCAGTGGCTTGGCAACTGGCTGGGGAGGG